TCCATATTCCCTCCCTTGGCACCACCAAATACTGATCACCATTGATCTTAATTACATGAAGACTTCTATTATCTGAATTTATGGTACCTCTGTGGAGGCATGAATTTCACTGCACTGCATTTCACTGCACTTCGTTAGTGTATGATTTAATTTCTAAGGTCCATTGGTAGGATTCTTGGAGTGGGTATCACAGAGCCCGAGAGAGAGCAAGAGAGGATTCTATTGATCGTGTTTCTCCTTTGTTATGTACCAAAACATTAAAATTAATAAAAAGAGTTACACTTGCGATGACCAGCATGTTACAGTACTGGCATCCAGCCACCAGAGGGCACCTACACAGTCACGCCTTATTTCACCCCCTCTGGGGAGGTGTGGGTTGACCACGCCTCCCCTTCAGTCTATTTAAACCATGCTGTCTGTCTCTACCTTTGTTCAGTATTGGTTTGTAGCTCCTGGTATTTGGAACGTAACTTTGGTTGGTATTGAAGATTTGTTACTTTTCTATTTTTTTGGACTTTGCGCTATTCCTTTTGACTACGATTTCTAATCACCCCGTTATAGCTCGCTTGTTATCATGTCATTTTACATTTGCTGATATTCAGCTTAACACAGCAGCCATAATTGACAGAAGAGCAGTGCAGCTTCACAGTCCAGCTCTTTGTAACCACAGTGCAAACCATTTTCAGTTCCAGCTGAGTCCATTATTATTTGATTATACCCTAATTAGTGATTATGACCCATTTTCAACTCTGCAACTGTAACAGATTTTGAAATTAACTTTTTAAGATTCATATGTACTGTACATTTTACACAGCAGCTATTTAGCTGTAAAAAATAATATGTCTAGTCAATGATGTCACATTTAACATGATTCCAAGAAACCCAAATCAATTGCAGTGCAAGATAAAAAAGAGAATATGGGAAGCCTTTAACTGTTCATCCCACATCTGGCTGCGGTGACACCGGGGAAGATACCTTAATTTGCCGAATGCAGAATCACCCCCCTGAGGGTCCCTCCACCCATATTCCTTCTTCTCTGCTTTGAGTGCCATGTGACTGCAGCATGCCCCACTTAACGCACAGAGCTGCAGTGGCTAAGCCCCCTGCAATCATGCAGTCACAGTGCACACTCAGAGCAAGAGGGAAATGGAAACAGTGAACCAGTGACATTGCATTAACATTTGTTACAATCTGGTCTCAGATGTAAAATACTGTAATTAGATCATATTGTAACTGCTACATGATGATGCAATGCATTTGTGTTTCCTTGAGAGCATTTTAAATGTAGTTTTCTCTTCAGCAGTAGTGACATACTGTACATGACCATATTTAACATTTCCTAGAGTCTTTCTGTGTTCAACACAGAAATACAGGATGTGAGGTGGGAAGACATATTGGACAAGAAGCTAGGGCATACTTGCATATACAGTACATGCAAAGCATGTCATTAGAATGAAGAAGGGAAGGGTAGCTTTTTTCTTCATTTCTAAATCTGAACTTTGAAATGTTTACGGGACTTTAGGGATTTCCAATTCAGTAATTCTATAAAATTTCCCTGATTTGATGTGAAGAACTGAAATTAAGTTTGTCATTGCCTTTGGTTTTAATTTTTGATGCTGTAAAGTCTTCTGTGATTTGTTCAATTAAAGGTGAATCTCTATGGAAACAAGAAGGGAAAAAATCTAAAAAAAGCCTAATACTATTAAAAGCCATTTTATTAACGTTATACTTTACTGGATGACTACAAGTTTTAAAGGAACAAAGTATAACACTGCTAAAACTTCAGTTGTGGAAAAGCTGTAAATATCCACATTTGTTAAATGGGATTAATGTGTAGTGCAGTTTTCCTAAGGCGAAATCAATCCAACAGCCTTACAGGTGAGACCACAGCCCACCGTGCCATGGGAAGAGGGGCATTATAATCATAAGGTGTAAATGAAAACAATTCTTTGTTAAGGATTAACGAGCAATGTTAAACCAGGATAACACAATTTTATATTCAGTATTAGATGAAAGGTATGGCTGAAGAGAGTGAAAATATGGAAACATTATTTGGAGCAGAGATTGCATTTTGAAGTTGACATATTCTGCCAAATCATGCGATGTAGGTATACTATGTCTCAGACCAATAAAAAACACCACTCACAGCTTAAGCACATGGCCATCACAAGAGTGTGGGAAGAAGTGGGAGTGGGAAACAAGATTTCTCAGGATACCCTAAATCGAGCCACACTGTTGTCATTTTTTGACAATGAAGTTTGACTTACTTAACCTACAAATATGAAATGTTTTTGGTTTTCACCAATAAAGTACCAAAGACTGTTTTACAGGCGATAGCCCAACTCACAGGGAATGTCTTTCTGCAGACTACTAAAATAATTGTTATAATACAGTATGTCCACTGCTTCTGGTAGTCTATGCAGCAGTCTATTTTCCTGAGATAAACCCAAGAGCAGGCAGGAGTCAGGTGTGAGAGTGAGCAGGGATCATAGTGTGTGCAGAGCAGGGTAAAGCAGCTGAAATGCAGTTCAGAGTTGAGTCCAAGACAGGCGAAGTTCAAAGATGGGTAAACATAGAAGCACTGCACAAAGGGAAAGCCACACTTGGAGCTCAGGGAAACATAAACCTAATGACACCATACACACCACAAGACGAGAAACCAGTGAACGTAGTTAGGGTGAAGTGTGGGTCCTGAATTCAGGAAATAAACAACGAGATCTAGGTAGTCATAGCTAAGCTAGGAAAGTAGTGAACTTTATGACAAAGTTCATGAGCACAGCCGATTCATAGCTTAAGTAACTTGACCAACCGGTGGTGCACATAAGGAGATTGCCCCCAGATGAAACAAGAATTCCTGTCAGGCTAGTATTCATAGTAACTGCCACTGAATTACAGGTGAGTATAGGTATGGTTGTCTTCCGCGGAAATACTAGCTCACCCCGTATCACATCAGTGGAGACAGGCATGATAATTGTAGTATGGCATTTTATCACATTTATAGGGTGGACTCCATAGCAAGAAAGATTGAAGCAAATGGCAAAATATGAAAGTGCAATAAAACTGTATCATCTTTTAAAAAAATAATTTCCCCTTAATAAATTTAATGTCTTGTTTAAAGTTATTAGGAGTAGCAGGATCTAATCACCTAAGAAAAACACCTGAAGACAAAAAAAGCAAAAATACTGTGTATTCAAGGAGAATCCAACAGTAATCAACATTAAAAAAACTAATAACAATTCCACAACAGAAAATAACATTAAATGAATATCAATATTCTAAGAAACATTAAAAGAGTTAGCAAACATATTTATTATATAATTATTTTATTCAGGGATAAAATGAGAATAAAAAAGAAACTGTATTTGTTTTTTAAACTGTAAATATAGTGCCCATCGACAAGATTAGGGACAAAGCCAAACACAAACTATTAAGACTTACATCTACTATTTGCAATTGTATGGAATTATAATTACAGCTAAAAAATTACAAAGTCTCAGGGTATAATCAGCTTGAGTTTAGAAAAAGAAGAGATACTAAGTAACAGATGAAGTAGTTAACAGTAAAGCATGTGACATACTGTACATAGAACCTTGTCCTGCACGCACAAAGGCATGAGCATCACTTGTTCTGGATATAGGTACAGTAAATCTAGAGAAGCACATCCAGGTTCCTGATTTCACTCTAATATGTGGTAAAGTAACAGCCGAATACATTTTTACTAATCTAATCAAGGTTAATTGAGTAATTGTTGCTAATATTTAGATTTATGACTTAACACTTAAAAGTTGTGGGAAGAAATAAATGTCCACAGCACATTTAATCTTAAAATTGAGTGCAAGGAAATGATTGGATTTAGGTTAAGAATTGGATTACGGGAAAAAAAACATAAAGTACTGATAAAGAGCTACCGCAAAATATCTAAATCTGGAGAAGGTGACTGCTATTGACGCCTAAAGTATAGCAGTAATCTGGTTTTGCGTGTTTAGAAGATCTGATACATTTGCTATCACTGCAAACAAATAAGGTTGTTTTGTACATTATAATACAAAAAGATTCACAGGAAAAGAGCTCTAAAGAACAGGAAATGCTATGTAATACATTGTAACTAACTTTAGATAGTCCCATGTCATTAGCTTGGATCACAAATGTTTAGGGGTTCGATTAAAATTCCTGAAAGTAATAAAGAATTTTACCCAAAAGACTACTATTAAAGGTGTATTAGTTATTTATCATAACCCACATAATGGCAGGAAGTGACAGAAAGTTGTAACAGCAGTAACTCTCTAAGGAAATGGAAAATATCAGGAATATGTATTTTAATTGCTTTCTGGAAAGTCAAATGGTATACAAAATTAAGTTTAAGACTTCTTTAATTAATTGGTTTGCAGTACCATACAGTCATTGAAACAATTTAAGTTATGATTATTGCTTAAGAACCAACTGTACAACTGTCTTTAATCAAAATAAATAAGTAAACATGACACATCACGAAGGCTTTAGAAACTAAGGAATAAAATACTTGGAACTAGAACAAGCATTCACTTTCCATGCAGATGCACTCTGGTAGGAACACAAAGCAATCCTTTTGGCTTTCATATTGCAAATGCATAAATCAATTGCAGTGCTGCAATTGGCATGCCGATGTGATTTTATTTATGGGAATTGGGTTATTTAGTGCAATGATCCAATATTTGTTTATAGCTTCACTTGAAAGATTTATTTCAGGACTGTAAAGAAATATTCCACGCAATTGATTTACAATAGCATCATACCATTTTGTTCAATGCTATATTTTTTATCTGTGCCGTGTTTTCAATTTTAAATTCATATAAAGAAGAAATAAGAAAGATTTCTATACGAGTTTGAAAATAACAGTGCATTTAAAAGCTAAGGCAGTACAGAGATCATTTGGTCCTGCTGCTTTAGTTTTGAGTTTACATATTGACATTTCACAAAAGATAATGGAAAAGTAATTCATTCCCTTTTCCCTTTTCACTTACCTCTGTCACTGTCATACAGATATGCAAACTTGTCCCATTTGTAATACTCAATCAGACTAAGTAGGGGTCCCTTGATATCAGGCCGCATTTGCAAAATAAACTGATGTAATCCATCTGCAGGGAAGCTTGGTGTAATAAAAGAGACGTGTAGAGTTCCACAAAATGATGTTATCGTATTCACAGACTTCTTATCGTAGAATCCAAAAATAGCATAAACTCCTCTTGAAAACTGGGAACAGACTGCAACAACAAAAGAAAGTATTATGTTAATAATATTTCAAAACATTTTAATTAAAGATGTAAACTGTATGCAAATAAAATGTCCACATAAATTACTTTGGATATTGATATTTAGTTGTACAGGGGGTCCCCATTTAACATCTTTAATGGGGACAGTAAAATCGGGGTGTAAAGTGAATTACAAATAAGCAGGAAATTATCGGCCACAAGAAATAACGGAAACAGAGGTTAATGGGGACTGAGAGAACATAAAAATTCCTGTGAGAACGTTAAGGGCGACATATTTAAGAACCAATGTAATTCAACCGTTATTTGAACCCGGACATAACAATGTAAGTCTACAGTAGTGAACATTCATGTTTTCTGTGTTTAAACAGAACATGCACGTCAATGACATAGTGTATTATGCATGAAATAATAGGCACCTCAGTATCCCGGACAGCACTATATTATGGCATTTTTATTTTTTCCTCATGCAGGACTGCACTTCTGCAAAACTGTCAAGTGGTGCTGTGAAGTACAGTATGTGAATTGTGTGTGGTTATCAGATGAGTACTGTATTAATCAGTACTGTATTAAATGTTTACATAGGTAGGTTAGTTCCCCTTTTCAGGCCATAAAGGCCCATGGGGGAATGGGGGTCAAGGGCCACTATTTTTTTCAACCATCCGACACTGGAAGTGGGAGCGATATGGTCAGCATCATTCTCCGGCCAGCCTATTACCTCCAGAAGGATTAACCCCTGGTACTCATTTGGAAAGTAGGCTGAGTGGACCTGGGAGCCACCTGGAAGGCTGAAATAGAACATACATCGCTTGCCCCTACCTGGGATTGAACACGGGACCTACCGATCAGGAGCTAGATGCCCTTTCCCTCAGAGCTACCATGGCTCCAAAATGTTTAGATATGTTTACACAATATTGTATAATACTAAAACCAGCATACTTCTTTGTATAAAAAATAGTTATATATATATTTTATTTTAGATTTTGATTACTTGATTATTAAAATATCTGTAAGTGGTGTTAAAAACATATTGCATTTAAAAGCAAATGAACACATAAAAACAAGTAATAGGTTTAATCCATGCTGAAAAGAGAAGAAAGAAAACACAACGTTTCGGCCGTGGAGCCTTCTTCAGGTGTGAGCTCCACGAACGAAACGTTGTGTTTTATTTCTTCTCTTTTCAGCATGGAATAAACCTATTACTTGTTCCTTTGCAGCCTACGCAGCCTGTTAAAGGCATTTTTCCTGTGAGGATGTCTTTCTCCATGAGTTTCTGTATTTCAATTTTTTTCATTGTTCATAGAGGGAGGCAGCACAATTGAAAGGCAGATTAGCACATCTGTTTGAAACACTATGCAATCATTTCTGAAATTCTAGAAAAAATGTAATTGTCACAAGCTTTTACCAAAAACCAAATGAGATGCACCACAATCTCTAGCTGGCCTAGCAGTTGTTTTATTGACAATATCAACTTTTATTTATAAAGCACCTTTCCAAACCCAAGGATGCTGTACATAGTTTTAAAAAAAGAAAAGACAACTTTACCATTAGTAACACACTGAGTTGTTAATGTACTTAATTACAGAATGCAAGGATAACAATGCCTGCAATTTGCTTTCTCAGACTGCCTGGGGGCGGGAGGTGGTAGAGTGGGTGTATGTTTTGCATTTGAATAACAGTATTTTTGTGAATATGTGTGAATAGCAAAATGAAATCTCTCTCCATTATCTCATTGCAACCATAGCAGTTCTATCCATAAAAAGGCAACATTAGGAAACACTTACATTAAAAAAAGATTAAACTTGCATGTTGTAATACTTCAGTGGTGTGTCAGTGTTTTTAAAACTGAACAAGTAATTTAAGGAATTTCTCATTGTATTCTTTTAAAAATAAATATACAACTCAAAAGATGTTTAAAGTTTCTACCCATCTTTTGAGCAACATAATTAAAAAGGTTATAATGAACAACTTCCTACATAAAGGCCGGTCGTTTTCATGCAGAGCTAATACATAAACATGGAAAAGTACCAGGAAATTGTATTACAGTATACTGTATGTTTTGTTATGGGCACCATGTATTAAGATGATCTAAGTAGCAAAACAACATTGGAAACGCTACTGTATCACAAATACAGACTTCAGTAACATTTGAAAATATTTTGTTAACTAAACTGTATTTGTGATACAGTTTAGTTAACAAAATATTTTGTTGACTTCAGTAACACTTGAAAATATTTTATTTGTTAACTAAACAAATATTTTTAAAATATGAAAAATGTCCTTTGCTAATAAAATAACTGAACAGATATATAAAAAAGATCTTTAAAAAAACAATAATCATAGTTTTCTTTACTCCCCCAAGACATTATTAACATGTTTTATAGCTTTACACAAAGGAGGTTCATCGTTGCAAAGACATTTATGTGCCATGTGCTCTGCTTTTTGCAGTAACAACATAGACATACATTTTATCCTTAAAACCTGTACATTTTATTTATTACAAATTACTATGAATCAGCTATTGTTCTAAATCAAAATGAAATTCTGGTCAAATAGATTCAATTATTCGAACCAATTACAATTTTGATTCAAATTATGATTTCATTTATATATAATTTAGTTATACATTTATTTTTAATAATACATCTATGATAAATGTAACATTTATTGTGATATTTAAAATTAATAAAAGTGTTGATAGAGTACACATATTATTATCTTATTTATTATGTTCATTTTATTATTAGAGTCTTTATCATACTCAAGGGACAATTTGTTAAAGAAAGTATAGCTTGTGCGTTGACCAGGAATCGACCAGAGGCTTCATTAGTGGCAAGTGAGAATTCTATCACTAAACTGCAAATGTGTCACTCTGATTGGATGACGTAATGTGTGGAGACTGGGAAATGTAATATTTACTTTATGTATTTAGTACCAAGAGCCAAATTAAAAACTACAAGTGTTGCTTAGTGATGGGTTTATTTGATAGGAAGTTGCATTTTCCATTATACTGCAAAAACATTCTATATAACATATACTGTTTAGATATTATATATAACAGATAATTTATAAATAATTAAAGACAAAAATAATTAAAACAAATAATTAAAATTCCTGATGTTATAATTGCTTGCAGAGGAAGTGAAAGCAAACAAACCAGAAGTGTTTCAAAGATAAAAGAATATGAAAAACTCTGTTCAAAAACTAAATAACTGAGATACACAGGATATTATTAATCAAAAACATTTTGTCATAATATTTGCAGCATTGTGGCAAAAATGTGATGCTCATTGAATTTCTGCGGGACAGGATAAAACCTGGAATGGCAGAATTCAGATGTGAATAGAACAGACTTTACTATTTGTTTACTTATAAAAATAATAACAAAACTTTTAGGCGAAAGGAATCATCACAATGATCACTATGCTGCACCAATTTCTCCTTAATTCCCCTTGCAGAAATGGTATCTGCAGTTCACTGACCTGTTGTCCATTGACAAAAAACAACACTGGGTAGATTAACATGACAATGACACCTCTCATGCATTTTAACAGCTTTCTGCCAACTGCTGGCAACGTTTTGGAGTGGAGACAGGGAAATCAATGCCTATGCTCTCTCTACCAATAACCTGGATATTCCCTTTACCCATTTTTATTTTAAGTTTGTTTTTTTTATCTACAGAGGAACCTAGATTAAACATCTATTTAATATGAAATCACAAAAACCCATTGTGGTATTACCTTTTTCCCACAAAAGGCGCATTTAAAATGAAAATATTCATCAATTTGAGCAAATTAGATCATATTCCTCTTTTTGTGTAATTCAAACCAAACAAAATAGATATAATTAAAATATATTTTTTTAGACAAATACATTTAGTACCATAGTTGACATAACAGTAAAATAGTTCAGGTGGGTAGCTGCATCAGCATGCACAGGTTGTAAAGGAACAAGTAATAGGTTTATTTCATGCTGAAAAGAGCAGAAAGAAAACACAACATTTTGGCCATGGAGCCTTCTTCAGGTGTGAGGAAGGCTCACACCTGAATAACCTCACACCTGAAGAAGGCTCCACAGCCGAAACATTGTTGTAGTTGTATAGTTGAAAAGTTAAAATTAATCGATATCACTAAATTGTAAAATGTGCAAAAAACGTTTTAAGGAAAAACAAATGTTCATATCTGTGGACACATAATTAAGAAGTTAATCAATCAAAGAAGGAACAGAAAATTACTAAATAAGACTAACACATTAACTATGCCTCCCAGAAATCAACTGTTCTGTTTGCTTGGGTACTTCAGGTCCCACCCAGGCTTGGTGGTTTATACAGTAGGTACTTAAATAACTTATGTTCGATCAAGTAGATGTTATTGTTTTTAAATTGAACTTTTTAAGTGTTCATGGGAAATTTAGTTTAAAATTAGCACATCAGTGCTTTCCCAAAATGAGCAAGTGTTTGAGTTTGAGTTGTGAAATCAATGCAAATGTTTTTATGAAGAAGGTGAAATACTATTTCACGCTGCACTTCATGACACCACAGTATATCTGCTGACACCTTGAGCATTGTAGATGGCTATATTTGTATTTGAACTTATCTAGCAACAATCTCTGAGTATCTTTGTTAGGGTGTTCTGCATTCAGAAGTCAGGGCACAGAAACAATGGTGTCAAAGCAGGGAGATTTAAAGCAGCACTATGTTAAGTGGGGACCCCCCTCTGTATTAAACCAATGTCCCACTCATTAGGGTATTAATTATGTTTTAGCTATTTTTTATTTTTTAAACCTATTTATAGGTTCAGTATGTTATACAGAGGATGTTATTTTTGTTTTATTATTTTTCATTTTACTCTGTCTGTTATTGCGGGTAAAGTCTGGGATTTCTGATTTTACAGTCATAATTCCGCTGCAGCAGATTTTGACAGTGTAACGTCCCAGCCTCCTGAATAACAGTGTTTTCAACAGTGTTTTCAGGGTACCTATGGTGATAGTAGTTT